AGGGTAAGGCTAGGATTCAAAGGGTATGTCTAATACACATGTATTAGATCCAGGAGCAGTTTACTTGCAAGTAAACTACTCATGAGTAAACACTCACAGGCAAGTGTCTGCACATGAAGGGAAGCAGAAGCAGATTTGCTGCTAATGGCAGCAAGCTGCTCCTGCTTCTTGGGGCCCTGCAATGGGCCCTTGCTGCCACCAGGGAGAGCTCTAGGGCCCCCTTGGGTGCTAGCCCAGGGGCTGGCAGGGAGCGCTGGGCCAGGAGACAGCTGCCTCCTGACTCGGGCTGTCTGCTGCCAGCGTGGGGACAGCGTTCCCCTGCCCCACAACAAGGAGGTTCTGGCCCTGGCTCCCCAATCAGGGGTAGGGAACAGGTCCCAGCAACCTGCCTCAATCTGCCATTGGGGCAACTGTTTGGTCTGTGAGCATGGAACTGGGTGGGGAGCCATCTGGAGAACTTGTTCCCTACTCAGCTCCATGAGCATGGAGCTGGCACTGGGAGATACGGATCTCCCAGCCCGAGCCCTGCAATTGTGGGGCTCGGGCTGAGACATGAGGATCTCCCAGCACCAGTCCCACAACCACAGAGCTGGTGCTGGGAGATAAGGACCTCCCAGCCCCCCAACTCCCTGATCATGATGCGAAGCAGAAGCTGGAAGATAAGGATCTCCCAAACCTAACTCCTTGATTGCGATCTCAGAATGGGGGGGGCTTGGAGTTCCCTGCTGCTGGGGCAGGGGGATATAGTTCCCACCCAGGCTCCGGTGGTGGAGCCTGCCCCAGCAATAGACAGCTCCTGGGGGCAGGGAGCAATCTCCTGCCCCTGATGGCCTGCTGACCAGCAGCAGAGTTGCTCCTGGTCAGGTGTCTACATAAACACTACTGCACAGTTACTAACCGCAAGTAAATTTGCTACTTGCATTTGCAGGTAGCACATTTACTCTCAATTAGTGAGGTTTTCTGTGCAGTAAGCATGTGCACATGTAGACACACATGCTTACTGCACAGTAAACTACAGTACTGCACAGTAAAGTGTCTCATGTAGATGCACCCAGTGAGACCTAGACAAACTGGAGGATTGGACCAAAAGAAATCTCGTAAAGTTCAATAAGAAAAAGTGTGAAGTCCTGTACTTAGGACAGAACAATCCCATGCAGTGGTACAGGCTGGGGGCTGACTGCCTGGCAAGCAACTCTGCAGAAAAGTACCTGGGGACTATAGTGGACAGTAAGCTGAATGAGCCACCGGAGTGCCCTTGCTATGAAGAAGGCTAATGGCATACTAGGCTGCATTAGTAGGAACATTGCCAGCAGATTGAAGGGAAGTTATTTTTCCCCTCTTTGGCACTGATGAGGCCACATCTGGAGTACTGTGTCTAGTTTTGGGCCTCCCACTACAGAAAGGATGTAGACAAATTGGAGAGAGTCCAGCAGAGGGCAATGAAAACAGTTAGGGGGCTATTGCACGTGACTTATGAGGAGAGGCTGAGGAGATGCTGGGTTTATTTAGTCTGGAGAAGAGAAGACTGAGAGGAGATTTAAAAGCAGCCTTCAACTACCTGAAGGGGGGTTCCAAAGAGGATGGAACTAAACTATTCTCAGTGGTGGCAGGTGACAGAACAAGGAGCAATTATCACAAGTTGTAGCAAGGGAAGTTTAGGTTAGATAGCAGGAGAGTAGTAAAGCAGTGGAACAGGCTACCCAGAGAGGTTGTAGAAGTTCTATCTTTGGAGGTTTTCAAGACCTGACTAAACAAAGATTTGGCTGGGATAATCTAGTTGGAGATGGTCCTGCTGTAAGCAGGGGTTGGACTAGATGACCTTCTGAGGTCCCTTCCAACCTCAGTTTTCTTTGATTCTATGAAATATATTAAATAATTGTTGGAACAGAACAGGCAAGAAATTTCAGGAGCTCTATTTTCCATGCATTACAACTGGGAGAAGGAGACATCTGATGAAGTTGGATTGTGAAAATCACTTTCCATAATGTCATTGAGGCCAAGGACTTAGCAAGATTCAAAGAAGGACTGACAATTTATAAGGATAATAAAAATATCCTATTACAAGAATTAGTGTTAATAAAAAAGTAACTGCACAGTTTGGGACTTTAAACCAAATTGTAACTGTTAAGGATTAGGGTGTGTTCTCCCCAGGGAATAGGGATGGTTTGGATGTCATTGTGAGCATTCAACATTCCATCATGGGAATCATCACAATGCCTGGTTGTTTCACCATGTTCCTTTACTTTTGCTTTTATCTCTCTCTTTTTGAAAAAAAGCCAAAGGAAGATGGAATTCCATGCAAACAGCTGTGTCAATTTAAAACATTTATGGTTTTGAGTAGTTCTGCTTTAAATTATAAATATTATGTTATCAGAATATTTTAAGTGTATTTACAAAAGTTCAGAGTCCACCATATATCAAACTCTGCTCTCCCCAGGAGCAGAATAATACTGCCAGCTTCAGGAGCTTGCTCTTGTGTGAGCTGTAGCAGACTCAAAACTTGATGCATCTCCCTGGAGGGATGATGCATTTCCTAAATTAATTTTTAGGCTGCTCTCCTTTTGGATCTTTTGTGCCCATAATGACATCTTCTATGTAACCCAATGAGGGGTCATTTTTCCTTACGTTTCCAGTATATCCAATTCCTCAGATATACTTATTCCTCAGAAAAAAATTGCTGAAACCACTCAGATCTCTTCAGGAAAAGGGGTGCCTATGAAACTAAAGAGTGCATTGGCAGATAGGTTTCCTCAGTGTTTGCTACAGTGCATGTGCTGTTTTCACAGAGCTGAATCCTCTTTGGGGAGTACAGTCAGTCAGCCCTGTTTGCACAACTCAAACTGGATTTTAGAAACACCTTCTAATTGCTATGATAATTCTCCTATGTGCATTTAGTACATAAACTTTTCTCTTGTGACAGTCTAAATTAGTGGCTGGTGACTGCCATAAATTATTTGGATTATAAGGTTATATGCTATGATGGACCACACAAATATTTGCCATAAAGAACAACTCTTTGGGGCCTGGCATGAATCCTATTTAAACCAATGTAAAATGGTTGTGGACACATGACATAAACCTCTACATTGGCATAACTTCCGAGAATCTGGAGTAGAGTTACCAGAAAAATCAGTGTAAGTGACATGCTCTCGCACCGCCCAGTGACAAGGCACTGCAACTGCAACAGCTACACCTGGACAGCCACTCATCTCTTTGCTCCAGATACCAGTGCAATCTGTATTGGGCTACAGAACCAACATAAATCGTGCTGGTGGTAGCATGTCGTGTGTTCAGGCCCTTTGTCTTTAGCTGACTTCTTTTGTTTTGATTGAACAGAACAGATAGTACCTTTCTGCTGCAAAAAGCATAAATTCTACCTTATTTTAATAATAACCTTAATAATCTACTGAAATATTTTTTGGGTTTATCTTTTTCTCATTCTTGTTTTCTCCATTAATATGGCTGTACAGTGATGGGAAGGAATAATGCATACTCATTGCTAGACCCACCCCAAAGAGCAGCTTCTGCATTTGTGAGAGCCCAGGTGTCGCCACAAAGTTGCATTTCTTAAATGTAGCTCACTAAAAAGGGGCCCAGGAAGAGCAGAATAGTCCCTGTCAGTATCAGGGACTGAAGATGAAAGGGCAAGTATGCTGTTTAATTTAAAGAGAAGTAACAAATTACTCATCCCAGCATGAATAAGGAGCTGCATCTGTCTTACAAAAGGTTTTACCCTAATGGCAATCTAACCCTATATTTGCTGCTTTGGAAACATCTTCTTAACACTATTTTGTAAAATTTTTATTATCCTCACTGAACATAGTAGTCCCTATTCACAGAAATAATGACTTTGGGCCATTTGGTGGTAGTGTTGTGGGGTATAAATTTAAGTCTCATGTTTGATTGGGTTCCCAGAGATCTACTTACAAACCCAGAGCAATGTGTAAGGGAGTCCAAGTTAGTGTAATTTATACCATTTTCTGGCAGCTCAAAGTTCAAGCAGGATATGACCTACTTAACTTTCAAAGTCTTAAACCCTCCTGCTAGTTGCTTGCCTGCTGCATTCATTTCTTCTGGCCCCTTAGCAAATGAATTATATTAGTTTAAATTCAGTGGGTCAAATTCCCAGGTGGTGTGTATGAAAGGGTATAAATTCTACCTTTTGTAAGTGAGTGTAAATCTAGATATATAGGATTTACATGAAATCTCGGTATAAAGTACAAAGTTCAGAGCCTGGAAGGAAAGTATGAATTACATATGTTCTGTAATGCTGATCTGTAAACTTTTGAGTTTGCGTTGAATGTGACCATCAACTTGAATGGGAATATCTGAAAGAGCCAAGGTAGCAGGATTATACCCTAAAAATTTACTCTGAATATCTTCAAGTTTTTATCCTGTTGTTCCTAACTTTCTCCAAATGACTGAAAACACACAGAGATATGCATACACACAAATATACACAGATATATATAATGAGAGTTGCACAGTATCTCTGTTTTGGATTGTGGCTACATGATTTTCTTATTTGAGCCAACTAATGTCGAGATGCATGTTCCATTAATGGAATGAAGAACATCTGTTATTTTCCCCCGTCTGTGATCGTGTACTGCAACACCAATCCACAGAGTTTTCTCTGAGTTCTGCAGAAATCTAACTTCTCAGAACTGCATTTCTTCACTTGAATGAAAAATAGGTCAACAAGCTTTCATCAATTCTCTCTCTCTCTCTCATACCTGTTGTTAAATGTTAATTTGTTCTACTGTTGTTTCTGATTACCTTGTTTTAGTAAATGAATATTAAGCTATTTTACATTTGGGAATCCAAAACCTAAAATGCTTCTGAAGTCATTCTGTATCCCTTTTTGGTAAGGAGCTGTGTGAAGCAGCTCTATCCTAGTTCCCCGCCTGTCCAATTATGTTAATCTTTCTAGTTTTGCATATCCCCTCCCAAAGTCCAGCCTCTGTTAAGAGCTCTGCACTAAGCTGTCAGGCAGTGTAACACCAGAGTGTGCTCAGCTACCACTTCCTTCATTTCAGCTACAACATTTCGTTCCAAAGAGCAATTTTCTTTTAATCTGACCTGACTACGCTTTAACAAGGTGTTTGTTTGAGCTTTGCATCAGAAGCTTGTCTCTGCAGAAGAATGCAAAGCAGTAATAGGTAGTGTCTGGACAGTTATTTGGAAAGCACAGTTTATATAAAGGATTTCAAGCTACTAAGTTAGGTTTAGGTTGCTTTTTTCTTTTGAACTTCTAGAGAAGAGCTAGTAATAAGTCTAAACCAAAAGCTGTGGGCTACATAAATTGAAGTTTACTATTTTTCAATTTTAAAATTATAACTATGAAAACCCAGCAAGTTCCTGTCAGTAAAGTGAATGCTGTTTATGCAGGGAGAGGACAGGCATGTGCAGGTGCTGTTAGTTCAGCCAACTGTGGGCATCATATAAAGGACAAACCTCACCTCGCGAAAAGAAGAGATTATTCTGTTGACACTTGGACTGTAAGCCGAGCTACTGGTACCAAAGCTCACTTCCAAGCACAGACCACCAGGCATCAGCTCTACAGCTTGGATAACAGCAAATCACACCCCAGCAATGAATGCTTCACAGGTAGGTTTTCCTGACTAATGTTTTGCATGGAATTCGAATCTCATTTTCTCCTCAGGAAAAATATTTTTGGTAAACCGAGTAAACCTAAATAGAAAGGCAAACTCTGTTCCCTGTTACTCCCAATCCATCCCAGTGATGAAGTGGCACTGCAGCAGCATACTCAATGATAGAGTTTATCCTGAAACAATGTTAATTTTCAATTCTTCATGATATCACTAATGTAACTCATCCTGGATCCATGATTTGTACTTCTCACTGAGTTAAGAAAAAATCCAGTCTTGTTCAAGATTTACATTTGAAATCCCCAATGATTTAGACTTTACTAGTAATTAAACTGCCATCAGTCTTGTGTTGTGCATATGGACGTTGGAGTCTATGTTGTTTGAATTTTGTGAGGCTTTCAGAATGGATTGGCCTGACCAAATCAGTGCGCGTGGTACTAACCATCCAGGCCACACTAGGTGCTGGCCCTACTGTGAGCACCTTGGCAGTGAATCAGGTGATGAACTGATTTAGTCTGGCTCTCAGAAAAGCCTGATATTTATGCATGTGGACAGTAAAAAAAAATAAAAATAAAAAAATCTCATTTTTGGGAAGCAGGAAGAGGAAGCATTAGAGTTGGTGTTTCTAAAATGAATAATAGCTGATCCAAAAGAAGGAAGGAATCCAGCAGGCCCTGGTAAGGATACTCGGTGTCTTTCAGAACGTTGGTGACACCATAAAGTATTGCTATACGAACCACTTAATCTAGAGCACTAAAATCAGTGTGAGGAGACAGGCACTTTTGAGATCAAATCCTGATTCCACCCTTGACTGAGTTTAAAGTTATTTGGCAAATTGCTTAGGACCCATGCCATAAACAACATTAAGCATTTGCTTAACTTTAAGCACAAGTAGTTCCATTTATGCACGGGCTTAAATTAATCATGTATAGAACTTATTTACATAAGTGCTTAACAGAGGTGCAACAAGTAGAGCTGGCACCCTGGGCAAACCCTGTGGGGTGGACAGGCGGGGGCACAGTTCCAAGAGCAGGGACAGTGGGAGGGCTTAAAGCAGAAGCAGAAGCAGCTGGGGGTGGTTTTGGAGCATGGGCAAGCTGTGGGGCTGCTCTGGCTGCCAATGCACGGACTCCACAGGGGGTGGGGGTGGGCAATTCTGGTCCCCCTGTTAACTTGGTGCCTGGGACAGGTGCCCCTCTCACCCATCCCTGTGCTACTGGTGCTTAACATCTCTGTGTCTTGGTTCTACAATAGTAAAATGGGTAGCACTTCACCAGCACTTTTCACTGAGGCAGTGGGAGGTGTAATGAGAGGTGTAAAGTGGTAGGAGAATATTAAAAGTTAGATGAATACTAACTTTTAAAACCTTTATAAAATTGACTTCTCTCTGTGCTCCCATAATAGATCAAATAATGGTGGGCATGGGGATGTCAAAAATTGCTGTGTTTATGAAGCAAGTGGTTGTATACCTTGGCATGGTCTCCGTGGTTTAGTGACATAGTTACTGCTGGCATAGCAGCTTGGCTTAAATTACTTTACTGTGATGTGACTTCCAAAAATACTTATGCTTCTCTGTTGTTTGAAAGGAAGCCAAGGGGTTGCTTTTTCTCCCCTCCCCCGCTGCAAATTGTAGGTTTTGAGTTGTTTAAAAAAATCCGTATTTAGGTCCTGTTCAGATGAAGGTTGAAACTGTGCTAGCCACTGTGTGTTATATATGCTGTGTTTAGAAACAGAGCTAGAAGGATTCCACTTTCCATAATCAGTGTGAACAAAGATTTTTAAAAATATATTTCTCATATACCCATGCCATAAAGGAATGGTATATGCTATGATAATAAATAGCACTGGTTGAGGTTAATCCACACTGATGAAGGAAACTGTACTTAAGTCCTGTAGTAACACAAGATCTGGCTACTAGAATATTAATTCAAGTTGAACATAGCCTAAAAAGTAAAGGCTTAGCCTTGCTTACACAAAGAGTGTACTTGTGCCCATAGTGCTATTGGTAACCATGAGATTATTCGTGTGAGATGAATTGGTTGTGTGCTGAGGGCTTTGCAGGATTGGGCCCTAATAGTCTAGGGAGGTTATTCTTAGAAATACCCATTTGAAAGTTTTAGTTGGCATGGATTAGCTGGACAGGCTTTACCCTTTCCTTTTCCTGAGTACAAGGCAAATGGAATCTCAGTTTCCTGGGAAAGACTTGATTACTGGTGATGTGAATAAGGCTAGTGAGGCAGTGCTGCTCTTCCACCAGGTACGTCCACATCATCTGTTTGAGGTTAATAGTGTATACGTCTATTGGAATAGTGCCTTTAATCAATAGACTGTACAGTCCCACATCACTGTACTAGTACTAGGGTGAGCACGGCAGCTGGATGCCTGTTTTAAATGCTACTCTGTGTCCCCTGGGGTTGCCAACCCTCCTGGATTGACTGGGAGTCTACTGGCATCGATCTCCCGGTGACTACTGAAAGCAATTTGGGAGGTCGATATTGTGAACAGGTTGAACAGTACAATTAATAACATTATGTCATGCTGGGGAAAAATATCTCCTGAAATAGCTTCAGTCAGAGTTGGCAACCCTAGTGTTACCCAAAGCAGCCTAGACTGGACCTGGCAGAGTTTTACTCTGCACTTTTCTTGTGCTGGGAATTCCAGCATTTCGACATTTTAATCCTAAATAAGAACAAAATGTTGAATTTTTAAAATTTCCTGAGAAATAAAATTGCTGGAAAAAGAATTATTTTGGAAATATTGACTATGAGCTTATCATATCATTTTATCCAATAAGCAGGAAGTGCTTTCTAGCGATAACAGTGAAATGCTTTGTTTTGAGGTTCAACAAGGACAAGTGCAAACTCCTCCACTTAGGACAGAACAATCCCAAGCACCAGTACAGGCTGGGGGCTGACTGGCTGGTCAGCAGCTCTGCAGAAAAGGACCTGGGGGTTACAGTGGACAATGAGCTGAATATGAGCCAGATATGTGCCCTTGTTGCAAAGAAGGCTAACAGCATACTGGGCTGCATTGGTAGGAGTGTTGCCAGCAGGTCAAGGGAAGTGATTATTCCCCTCTGTTTAGCACTGGTGAGGCCACATCTGGAGTACTGTGTACAGTTTTGGGCCCCCCACTACAGAAAAGATGTGGACAAATTGGAGAGTCCAGCGGGGGGCAACAAAAATGATGAGGGGGCTGGGGGACATGACTTACGAGGAGAAGCTGAGGGAACTGGGTTTATTTAGTCTAGGGAAGAGAAGGCTGAGAGGGAATTTAATAGCAGCCTTCAACTACCTGAAGTGGGGTTCGAAAGAGGATGGAGCTAGACTGTTTTTTAGTGGTGGCAGATGACAGAACAAGGAGCAATGCTCTCAAGTTGCAGCAAGGGAAGTTTAAGTTAGATATAAAGAAAAATGTTCTCAGTAGGAGGATAGTGAAGCACTGGAAGAGGTTACCCAGAGAGGTGGTGGAGTCTCCATCCTGGGAGGTTTTTAAGACAAAGCTTTAGTTGTGGTGATCTCGGTGGGGATGGTCCTGCTTTGAGCAGGGGGGTGGACAAGATGACCTCCTGAGGTCCCTTCCAACCCTCATTTTCTATGATTCTATGACTGTTGAGGAAACTTTTAGATCATTTTTTGTTAACAGTTTTGATAAAATTAGTGTTCCTAAGAGACTCTTTGGTTTTGCAGAATTGGCATTTCCCAATGGCAAGTGTTCCACTGAAGACATTTCAACTAACTTTAGCTTGGAAATCTCATTAAGGCATTTAGTTTGAAAACTGGGCTCCCATAGGCCATGTCTATGCTGCTGCAGCCAGGATTACCACTGAGGAACAAACTCTGTCTGTGCACTCCAGTTCTGCACATCCCCAAGTCTGCCATTAGGTGGAAGATGGCATAGACAAGTCCTAAGCACTCATCCCAGCATTATTCTAAGCTCTTTGGAGACCAAGCCTGACAGTGACGCTGGGGCTTGAGCTCAGGACTCCTCTAAGATGGTTGCTCTTGCCTAATTGCCGAGTTTTGGCACACATGGAGTGTGTTGCCACATGGGCAGGACCTGTTCCTTAGCAGCAGCTCCAGGTTTGGCAGGGAGGTGGTATAAATATGGTCATATTCTACCAAGCAAGTTACCAAAACTCTCCATGAAATGCCATTAAATTCTGAGAGGTGTTTTGTCTCCTAAGTGCTGATCAACCCCATCTGATGCATTTGGCAGGTTTGATTTGGTATGGCCTTCTTTTTATTTTGTATGTTTATGTTGATGAAAGTGGAATGGATTGGGATGTTATCTGAGCATTTGATACTCTCTCTTAGGAAATCTTAATAGAAAAAACCATATAAATTAGCTGGAAAAGAGCTGCTCTCATGGATTTAAAACTGGCTACATATCAAGTTAGGAAGGGACTATCTTACTTTTCCTAAGGTACCATTCAGTAAAAGATTGAACACCTTCCATTCCAGTTAAACTGAAATCAAAATCATCAGGGTATTAAGTCAGAATTTAAATTTAGGTTATGTGATGACTATTTAAGATCCTAAATATCTGACCTGGTTTTACAGAAGTGCTGAGCAACCAACAGCTCATGATTTCAGTGGGGTTTCCTGAAGTATCAGCACTTTTAAAAGTCAGGGCACTTATTCAGGAAAATGAGACTTCAGTAGTCTCCCTTTTTGTAAGGCTTACAATGAGCCCCCAGGTGGTGTTCTGCACAGTGTAGATTGGACTTTTAATTTGCTATTTTTGAATAACCTTCTTTTTGTCTTGTGTAATATGCCACATTTGAGCTTTTCCTCAAGAACTGGAATTATGCACTTCAAATAGGCCAGCAAAGAACTTCAGATCTTGGCTGAAATCCTACTGCATGCTCACTTGGCTGTGAGCTAATGTTGATTTTATGTCACGATGTGTAATCAGTATCTATAAAACTTAAAGCACAAGTCTGCCACAAGTTTGGGAGAGTCTTGGTTTTGCTGACTTGTACCAATGGAAATATAG